TCGCTTCTTCATAGCAAGTGCGCCCTCATTAGTTAAGAGATTTATACTATAGGTAACTCATTACAAGCTTGTTCCGCCACTTGTAGGCCCACTTCAACCTCCTTATACTCATCATTAAGAGCAGTCATCTGGTCACGCTTTGTTTTACTAACCAAGAACAGTAAACACCGTGTATGTAACAACACCAACGGCGAGGTGATTGGTACCATCTTGATGGGGTTTTCCGGCATTCTAGCATGGGTAACCTGAACTACCCCCTCCATGATGGATCGAAGTTTTTGGGTGATCGAATACCCAGGCTGAATGTACCTCGCTTCATTGATCATATTCATAGCCACAGTAAGATCATTGTCCTGTGTAGCTAAAAAGCACAACTTAGCGAGGTACTCCTGCCGCTTAGCAGACGTCGCCGGAGAGATGTCCCCCGATGCCTCAGTCATGAACCTAGGTACATGACTCCCCAAATGATTCTTTGGGTTATCATGCACCAGGCCACAACCAGATACCGGGCACAAGAATGGACGCCTTGAATGTTTCTGGCGCTGAATTGTATTCTTCGCCGAATAAGATGCCGAATATCTACTCGAACGTCCCTTCACCCAAGGTGTGCTGCAACTAGAACGGGCAGAATGCCCTTCCTTAGCGGATGAAGTACGGGCGGAACGCCCTTCCTTATCGGATGAAATCTGGACGGAACGCCCCTTCCCCGAGACTCTCACATCGCTACTGGCAAACGGAGACGAATCTACAACTTGTTTCGCGGCTTCCACCTCCAGCAGTTTTTCAAGTCCATCTCGATTTCGATACTTAACGGAACAGGCGTACACGCCATCCAAATCTGGTCCCATGACCACAGTTCCGTTCATTGGCTTATTCTTTGGGATTCTATCCGCCACATAGAACCTCATCTCGGTGGGCAGCGGTGATGGCAAACCCGTAAGTCGTAGGCGAATAGGCTGGTTTGTTTTAAATCCCAGTTGGCGTTGGGCTGGAAATTCGCCTGTTGAAAGTATCCGTGCCTTCCGGATAAACGTAAACGTCGTACCAGGTTGAAGTTGGTTGGCGGCGTCACTCGCCTCTTCCACTTCCATAAGGCTGCAATTCGCCTCATTTTTATCTGAAGACATTTCTGAAAAACAAAAGATCATCAAAACACGTTCAATTTATAATTTCTTTTCACAGCGAGTACACTTGTACCTATCAATATCGATGGCCTCAGCAGGTGTAATATTTACACATGCACCATGATACCATTCGCCGCAATAGTCACACTCGATCATAAAACGACCATCCCAAGTCCTCTTACAAACACAGTATAATTGATCATCTTTATCCCTGTCTCTTATACACATCTAGATGTGTATAAGAGACAGTAGCTGCACTCTTCTCGACTTCAAGGACTTGCAGTGCAGCTTCTTGAGTAGCCATTTCTTGCTGGATAGTAGCTTGGCGTCTAATGTATTCCAACTGAACCTTTGTTGCTTCAGCTTTGGCACGAGCTTGTGCAGCGACCATGCTAGCAGATGAGACTCGACTTCTTCGAGACCCCAGGCTAACAGCATCTGCATTTGCTTTCGAAACTTGTTTCTTCGATAAATGTTCTGGC